GTGCTAAGTCAATGATGAATAAATTAATGTTGAAATGGGGTCATTCATCCATTTTCATTCATCAGTTTTTAAATCATATTTGTGATTTTCCCCTACATGTCAGGTCCTTCTCTTAACTTCTAACTCCTCCTGCCCTTCTGTGAACCCGCAAGACCAGCCTAGTAGAGTGACAGTTTTTCCTCTTTCTTCTTGTGCCCAGTTGGTCCAAACTCTACAGAGCCTCCCTTCCTCATTTCTCTCCCATTTGCCCTTTGGTTACCATCCAAGTTTGGGCTTCACCTGTCTCTGCTTTTACTCTCTTCCTGTACACAGCAGCCTGGCCATCCGCCTGCTTCTGTCCAGATGACACTTTTCCACTGACTACAGATAAAACGGGCATTACTCAGCCTGGCATTCAGGGGATTTACTGGTCCTTATACTTCAACAAATTGGAAATGTTTTTCTTTCCTGGAATATTCTTTATCCCTTTTTCCCAATTCCATATCATGCTTTTCCCTCTGCCTAGAATACTCACCTACCTGCACACACCACACACACAAACATCACCAGAGCCAACCAACTGCTTTTCTTTGGAATCTTTTCTGTAACCCTGCAAGAGACAACGCTGTGCCCTCCTGAGTGGCTGTGGTTCTTGGCCCACTTCTTTGATACCTGCCTTTCAGTGTTACTTCTTCATTTATTCATATGCTATGCTTTTCTATTATTTGTTAGTCAACTCCTTGAGACTATGTCTTATTTCAGAGTCGAAATTGGTGGGATTCACTCAGTTTATTTGTGTTGAAAGAATAAATGAATGAAAGCATGAATGAAGGATAAATTTCTTTCATCACCTGCTCTTCCGAAGCCAGTTTTGAACTTCCTATTGGTATGAAACTCAGAAATGCTTAGTAGACATTTCGGTATTCCTAAACATTGCAGAACAATTTAATATTTGTAAAGACATTGTATAATAGAATATAATAGGCCCCAGAGGGTTAAAACTAGTGAAGGATAACTTGGATCCACAGAACAATTTGACAAATGGTGTTGGAAATATTGACTAGATAGAGCAGCATGGTATGGTTTTATCCTCTCACAAGGTTGTGTTGAGTTCATCTGCTCATAACGTGTAGAAGAATACTGTTCTCACCAATTTCTAAATGAAAATATTTTTTTTTTTTTTTTGTCTTTTGTCTTTTTCCGTGTCCGGCAACGGATCGCAACCCTCAGTGTTGCCCAGAACAATTTGACAAATGGTGTTGGAAATATTGACTAGATAGAGCAGCATGATATGGTTTTATCCTCTCACAAGGTTGTGTTGAGTTCATCTGCTCATAACGTGTAAAAGAATACTGTTCTCACCAATTTCTAAATGAAAATATTTTTTTCTTTTCTATACTTTAATCTGTGTTGAGCATGAACAAAAGAAGCTTAGCATATGGGATCTCCTAAAATTTTTACATGTTTACATGGAGCATAAAAGCATAGTACATCACTGTTTATATAAATGCCAACAGCTCTCAAATTGTCCAATTTTATATCTTCTTATGGAAGGAACTCATGGAGCCGTGAAGCCCGGCTGTTTCCAAGCACGCTGTCCCAGAAATGCACGTGCTCTTACAAAATCTTCCAAGAGGCAATTACGCAGCTCAAGAATCCATTCCAGGCTCTTCAAATCCTGAAGTAAGAAATTTCTCCCAAGCCTCTAAATTACTTTCTTCTAAGAGTAAAACTCATTTTCAAATCCTGTAGCTGTTAAAAACAAAGGCTGAATACTCTCTTTAATATGTACCATGAAGGAAAAAGACCCAGTGGGGCCACACTGATGGCTTCTGAGGCTCAGCCGAGCTGGACCCTTCCTGAGCTCTGACCACGCTCCACTCTTCCCAGCACTGGCCATCTCCTTCTGCCTGTCTAACTGTGAAGCTCCTGAGGTCTTAACCCAGGCACCCTGTGCTTCTCTGTCTACGGGGCTTCTCGGAAAGCCTGTCCAGTAGTGTGGGGTACACTAAACCACTTAGGGCTCAGGGGCAAGTGCTGTACATCCCAGTTCTGCCTCTGGTCTGAGTAGTAGTGGGACCCTGGACCCACCATGTAATGTCTCTGGGCATTAATTTATTTTCTGTATACGCAAAACTAAGATTAGAGAATAACTTAAGTTTCTTGAAGCATTAAGCATCCAGGACACACAACAATTCTACCAACTCCAAGATGATAATGTTCAAATACTGTATATTTCTCTAGCGGTATGTGCTCTGCCAAGCTCTCAGGCTCATTAAATTATTCATTTATTCATTTGCCAACTATGGATTTAGCAGTTGTTAGGCATGA